TAATATAGCAAGATGGATGATGTGTGTGTCTGTTTCTCTGAGTTGCTCTGACAGTTTTATTTAGGCATGTTGCTTTTTTTGCATCAAAATGCTGGGATATTAAAACAGTCGTTTTTTATGTAAAAACATATTAATCTGATTAATATACAAATAAAACCAGAATATTTCACACTAGATAAAATAAATCACGAATTTATTTATTTTTAATGGTTTTAAGAAAGGACTGAAAGAAGAAATCCTGTGTGGCAGCACTTCAGACAGCCTGCATCAGACAAGGCTTAGTTAATAAATGGTTTTGTTTGTTTTGTTTTTTAATATTTTGGTTAATTTCAAGTTTGACTAGGCTAGATTTTGGGTCATGTTTGTACTGGGGTGGTTAGGTTTAGGGTAAACGGTCTGGGTTAGGCTATAGAAATGCCTGGAAAATGAATAGATGTCAATGCAAGGTCCCCACGAGGATAGAAAAAAACAACTTGTGTGTGTGTTGGTTTGCCTGTAGCATTAGCTAATTATCTCATGAACCAGTGAAGGAATTTTAATTAAACTCTCAGAAAGTAATGATGTACTTCTTCAACTGATAAATTTTTGATGTCACTTCAATTCAAGGTATCCATCACAGCAATATTACAACAAGTAATACGTAATCCTTCAACGAMTGCTTAGCTTTATCTGCTGTCCATTTTAAGCAATTTACCATTAGGTGTAAGATATTGATTGCAGTGTTGYCACCAGAACGACAACCTAAACAGGTACTAAGTAGCACTAAAAGACTGCTAACCAGAATGTAACACAAAATAGATCCATGGAGCACACCAGCCCAGTCAGGCCTGACAATGCWTGAGACATGGGCTGTACAGAACAAAAAGATATACATTACCTGCCTTCTTGACCAAAAATGAAGAGACCTAATTAACCAATGAATTTGGCACTGTCGCCAAGGAGGATACTTTAAAAGTGTAATCAGCACTGTTATTTCTAATGCCTGGAGGCATCAGGGACTTTCAGAAATGATAAACATGAGCTTCTTACATTTCACTGGTCATGACTGCCACAGATGAGAGTGTGGATGAATAATCAGGAAGAACCATTCACACACAAACAGCTTTAATAACCCCACTGGAATGAGTGATTGACAGGGTTGCACATAAAATGTTTGGTCTGGTTCTCAGGGGAGAACCTAGGGTTGTTGCTCGGTGCTCATATTTTCCTTCACTCATTTAACACATTTATCTAGAGGGGCGTCAGGGCATCGAACATCCCCCTGTTCTGTTTTATGACTCCTATCAGCTGCAACATCTCAGGACATCATGTCAAATCAGTCCAACAAGTTTTTTTTTATTTATTCTTTTACTCTGCATAAATTTTGTAAACTACCTAAGTGGCTGAGGGKCTGGGTGTCATATGAACATCACAAACTGAACATTTCATGGTTAAATGTCTTTTAGACTAACATGTCCCTCAGATTGACAGCTCCTGTTAGGTCTTCTGGATCTTTGGCCTTGGTTAAACCAGCTTTCCACTCTCCAGTCCAAGCAGCAAATACTGTTTGTCTTTTGCACAGAGCAAACTAACTTAAAACATACAAATGTTTTATTTGTTAAACTGGTTTCTTTTTTAAAAGACTATTTTATTCAAAAATATTATATTATCTACCGTAGATGGTTTCAGCTCATGTAATTTTTTTATTCTTCATATTTGATTGTTTAATAAAWTACATTTATCCCAGAAAAGCTGTTTCACAGTATGGTCCTAAATATAAACAAGTTTAGCTCATCAAGAACCTTGTTTTTTTTTATAAAATTGTGAATGAAATTTGTGGATCTTTATGATAAATTAAAATAAGATTTCAAACTCTTTCACCTAGAGAACATGGCAAGTTGTTTTTATTTTTTGAATAAATATATAATTTTTGACTGGGGTGTTAAACAGAGAATCATCTTTACTTTAATTTGGGGCAAACAAATGTTCTGTTAGTTAATGTGGTTTAATTAGAAAAACTCAGTGAATCTCACAGACAGCCTGCGCGTGCAGTGACGCGCTCATACAGCAGTCTCTCAGGAGGAGAGTTCAGTCACTCACACAGAGTTGGACAGATCTGTTCAATAACAACATTCTGAACACATATTTAATATAAAGTTATGTTTTACAGACCAAAGTCTCTGGTAGTTCGGGAGCAAAGTGCAGGAGGAGTGGAGGAGGAGATGTATGGACTGATCGCTGCAGCAGCTCGACTCAAGCCGGCCCGCTGCTTCAACCAATCTTGCTCTCACTGAAAGTCCCACCCTGCTCTGCTCTGATTGGACAAAACGGCTCCGGACTTCATCTAATTTGTTGAAGGCAGTGTCCATTTAATCAGGGGCCTTAATATCAGGGTCCCGCTCTGGTGCATCGAATGATCCATTCACACCAGTGCCACTGGATTCTTCTTTTTTTTTTAAGAAATCAGGTCGCTTTTGCGACCAAATTGGTCACACTCTAGAGCCATGCTAGCTGTTGTTTTGACAGACAATCAGGTACAATCAAGTATGCAAGGGAGCTTTGTGACATCCCATCTGGTGCGCTTTTTCCTTTTTTGATCGCGCATGTGTACCTGCGCACTGCTTATGTGCACCTCTGGTTATTGATGTGGTATGAAAGAGGCCCAAATGTATTTCAGAATGTTTTTCACAGAGCTGAAAGAGATGTTGAATGTATAGGATGATAGTCAAGTTATAGGTTCCCCAGACCCATTGTCAACACGCTGTCAAAGTTTTATGCACTTCTGCAAACCTACCCCAAGGAGTGTGGACATAAAATAATACCATTGCTCTTCCATTCCCTCCTTGGCTGCACATGGGTTGCATCATTTAACAACTATGGATTTTCTGGCACCCAGTTAGTGTTCTGAGTAAAGGGATATCATCAGAGGGAAAAAAGTCAGTTTTGTCGTTTGTTTGTGTTAAATTCAAAGTAAATTCTGTTCAATACTAAAATAATACAGCAATGSCAAATTCACCCCAAGGTCAGGCCATGCTCCATATCCAACTCAGCAGGCCTCAGTTAGCAGGTTAAATGTTAAAGTTCTTAAAAGGACAAACATAAAAAGGGTTAATGAGTGTGGCTTGTTTAGAAGAGTCGGTAGGGGAAAGTATTTTTTTTCTAAATTAATACAGCAGAAACAAACATGAGTTTGCAAAGCTGCATCTGAATGATTTCTGGAAAATCCTTTAGACCAGTGTTTTTCAACCCTGATCCTCAAGGCCCTCTGTCCTGCAAGTTTTAGATGTGTCCCTGCTTCAACACAGCTGGTTTCAATTGACAACCGATTAATAAGCTTTTATTGAACTGCTGTCATTTGAATCAGGTGTGTCAAAGCAGGGAAACTTCTAAAACATGCAGGGCAGTGTGCCTTGAGGACCAGTGTTAGGAAGCACTGCTTAGACAGATGAGACCAAAGTAGATGTTTACTCCGAATGTTTGGTAAAAATCAAGCACAGCATATCAGCGTGAACACCTCGTACCAATTGTCAAGCATGGTGGTGAAATGTTAATTATTTTTGCCTCGTCCAGAAGACATGGGTATCTTGCAGCTATTCTTGACCATGAACATCTCTGTACCAAAGGATTTCAGAGGCAAATGTGACACCATCAGTCCAACAGCTGAAGCTTGGACCAAAGTGGGTCATGATGCAACAGGAAGATGAGCTCAGACACAGCAGATAATCTACATCAGTCATCCATCATTATCTTCATCAAGTTGTTGAATGAAATGCTGGACTTAGTTTGTCTACAGATTTTCCATGTTGGCTTTATTTTTGCTAAATAAACAGTGACATAGATTAATATAATAATGAATAAATAGTGGATTACATTGAGCATTTTGTACAATTGAGGTTAGATTTGATTAGTTTTAGAATCTTTTATAAAAAACAGATTATTTGTTTTGTGTCCTCAAATATAAAACTTAGTACTTGGATGGGAGACCGCCTGGAAATGCCAGGTGCCGTAAAACCAATATAGGAGTTTCACCCACATTGGTGTACTAGCAATTGAAAGCCTCTGACCATAAAAGGTCATAGGTCACCTTCTACCAAAGAATGACAAGTAGTATATGTAAAAGTGTGGACTTTTTCTTTCACCACTGAAAGGGCTTCAAAATTTCAAAAATCTTCAAGAGAGTTTGCTCACTGTGGAGACGTGTAAAGAAGGGCGCAGCTCAAAGACAAATAAAAATTATAGCAATGTTCTGGAAGTTTAAAAACTCTCCCATCCTACAAAACCACATCAGACGTTATTTCTTCATTTTCTTACCTTTCATCATGGCTTATCTATGGAACATAAAATGCAGCATGATGCACAGAGGGAGTGGTTCCTTACAGACTCATCATGTTCTGAATTTATATGGTTCTGCAGTCATTTTGTGTGGTCTGAAAAACTGAGCCTGTGCAAAAATGCTTAAAAATAATGTGACACAGTCACCTTTGGAATCTAGTAATTGGATTTAAATTATTTTTGCTAATATTCTGGAAAATTGTTTCAGGGGGGAAAAAAAAGATCAACCTGTTCAGACAGAACTGTATGTTGTACCGAGCCTCACATTCTTATCTTCTATCCTCTTTCATGTGTGCCTTCAGGCTCTTTTCACACAAACGTGAATTGCCTTGTTTCCCAAAGCTCAAGTAATAACTAAAGATACTGTGGGTGAGATGAAGACTTGCTCACTGCACTTCCTGATGGAATGTGGAACACTGTGTCAACTGTTCTTTTCTGGTGAGTTCTCAGTGTGATGTTCTCTTGTAATCTGTTGGGTCCTTTTYTCTGATGCTTGCAGCTCTACACTAAATACAACACTGCCTGCAGCACAAAATATCAACAAAGCAAAATAGCTTTGTTCAAAACATGCAAATCCCAATTAAAAATGTGTAAATGC